GCGGAGGAGTGAGAGCAGAGTGGGCGCCTAGAGTGAGAGTTGCTAGCGTGAGTGTGTGTGTGTGTATGAGTTTGTGTAGCGAAATAACATCTATAAAGACAAAACTGTCTCTGCTGTTGCTACTTAACAGCCCTACTGCCGCTACACAGCAGACGCAAGAACTTTGGCAGTCACGCATTTGACAGTTTGTCAATGTACATACATATATACGGAATGCAAACGGGTTAAAAGAAGACAAGTTAGAAGAAGTAGCATGCATGTAAATGAAACACACACACACACACACACACAAAAAACTCAGACAAACAAAACAAAATATCGTAAACAGCATAGACAAAATACGACAACAACGAGCTGTTCGAGATGTGCCTTGGAATTTTTGAAAAGGCTTTAATTAATTGAATAAAAATCGTAAGCACAGACATAGCCTAAAATATATAAACACTCACACAGCTTGTGTGAAGCAAGACACACATTTGTCCTCGTTATTTGCCCATAAAGTCATGCATACACGGAGATAATGTGCGTCAGTGTCGTGGAAATCCTTTCAAGGCTTACAACAAACACATACGCACGCACTTTTTCGCCTCTAGAATAAATAAATAAATGACAGCACAAAAATGAAGGCGGCACATTGCGTAGGTTTAAGCCTTTCAATTTTTCGAGAGCCCATCGAAAATTGGGTAGCACAACATGCGTGTGCAATTAAAAGAAAGCAGTAAAAAAAAGAATAAACAAACATATAGAAAGAGTTGTGGCATATTGGAATATATGTATGTATGTAAAGTGGAGTGGCTGCTAAATACGTTATGTGTACTGTGCGTGTGTATATGTTTGCGCACCATTAAGACGATTTAAGAAGTTTGCAAACAAAATTAAGTAATTCCACCAATATTAATAGCTAGGCGTGTGTGTGTGCTTTGTGGGCATTATAAGGATGTCATGCAATTAGTAATGCTACACAAATTTTTTAAAGGAATCGAGGGAATAACAGCTGGTTTTATTAAAAATACAGCAGTATTGGAAAAAATTGCAGGAATACAAATCTTTTTTTATAACTAATTCGTAGAAATATTATATTTTGAAATTGGTAAAACGTAAGTTATAAAATTATGAATATACAAATATTTTAGAAAAAACTAATTCGTGCTAAAACTAAAATTTGTTCAAACATTGTTGAAACGTTTGCGTAGCGCTGGTAAATAATAAAATAAAAAATTGGCTTCGAAGCGGCTTACAGCCTCACGACACACACTTTAGCTTCGTTATTATGCATTTTTAAACCATTGGTGAAACGTTGGTGTATTGAAAATCACCATATTTTTAGCGTTTAGCTTCTGTAAGACACATAAAAGTATAAATTTGACATTAAAACGCTTTTTCACATCGTTGTTGAAACGTTGATGTGTTCGAAATACACTTTTGTTATTTCAAAAGTATATAGAAACAAATTTTAGCTTTTATTGGCAGCATAAGCTTTTGTTGCGACATCATTGGTGAAACGTTGGTGTAAATAAAATTAAATTTTATTGCTCTAAATGTGTTTTAAAACAGACTTTTATACCATTGTATTGCTCTAGATACATTTGTATTGCTCTAGATGCTTTCCAAAACGAATTTTGGCGTTCATTTACAAATGTTTCAAGTTTTTAAATGTAGGTATACTTTTAAACAGATCTTCCAGCTGTAAAACTATAAAAGTTGTTAAAACTGAAGGCTTTATTAACTCTCAGCCATCCCAAATTGTCTCAGCTACAAGCAATAATCTCAATTGCTTTGCAATCAGCACTAAATACCCCATCTCTATGTCATTGATATGGTTAATAACAACAACAGTAATAAATAGACGCCCGCAAAAATGTTTACGAAGTGGGTTATATCTGCCATAAATTCATATAAATTAACAATGGACAAAAAAGTTTTAATTGAAAAATATTAAATTTCGGCAAGCGCTCAAACACATTCACTGCCAAATATAAAATATGTGTGCTTAAAGCAACAAAAATAACGGAAAACCACACGCGCGGTAGGTACAAATGTACATATCTACGTATAGGTAAGAGCAAATAAGAGAATAACAACCGCCAGGCATAATAAATTAATTGATTAGACATCCTCACATTACACAAAAGGCACGAAAGCAACAACGTAGACTTAATGCAATATGTTTGTATGTGTTTGTGCTTGTAGCGAATTTATGATTGTGTATTTTCGAGGAAAATATTCGCGGGTGTAGCATTGATAGGGTATAAGTATGTGTGGAGAACATAAAATAATACAATCACGGCGAAATCATATGCAGCCAACAGCAACAAACAAATCATCTTCGGTTGTAAAGAGATTTTTATGAGCCAAAGCGAAAGGTTAAAATTTCACCACCTATGTTTGGGTTACAATTTTCTTAGCATACTTCTAGGGTTGGCAGCATGCATATTCATAAAATTCGACAAGCGCTTGCTACAAAAGGCAGCAATATTATTCAATTTTGCAAGGCAGTGGTAGTCATAAGAAAATATGTAACACAACTTATATGCATGTGGTAAAAATGGCTCGAACAAATAATAACCACTTGCGGTGTAATTCAATATCAAATTTACGAGTCTATAAATATGCTGGAAGGCTATCCGTGTCATTGTTGCTTGCAGCCGAGACATGTGAAATAAACGTGGCTAAGAAGCAAGCACATTTGGGGGAATTTGTTGTTGTTATTTATCGGGCCTTTGACATTTTTGTAACAAGAAGTACAATTTGCTACGTAGAGCAAGAGACATATGTACATATATGGATGTTCATGCACTTTTTCTTACATTTTCACGTTAAAAAATAAGAGTTGGAATGAGAACAAGTTTAAACTAACGTTAACATTCCTTTTGTAGCACCAGAACATAAGAAGTATACAATAAGATATTAATCGAATTTCTAAAAGTAAAACGATTTTCACTCAAACAAAGTGCTTATTCTAGAATACAAACTGATCTTAAAATGCTTAGATTTTGATCTAACTGAGTAAATAATTTCAAAAATTAAAAACGTTGTATTAATTACAAAAATGCTCGGTAATAAGTTTACCAAAAGCTACTCAAATAAGATGGTATGAAAAATAAATCACTCAGTTTTTCACTCAAACTTTTAAATAATGCTTTTTTTAATTTTAACAGTAACAACTTGAACTAAATTGACACGAAAATTTTTGAGTGCAAAAATAAGTCACTCAATTTCTCACTCAAACTTTTAAAATTTAATTAACTTTTTTTTTTAATTTGTAGTCACAATGAAGCTGCACAGAAAATATGATATGATCAAAAGTCAAAAGTTTGAGCTTAAAAATAAATCACTCAATTTTTAAGTCAAACTCTTAAAATATAAATTTTTTCGTCGTACGTTAAAATAAAACTACATAAAAAAACCAGGTTAAAATAAGCCAAAACAGTTTTTAACCCAAACTCAAATACCCAAAGTTTCAGCTAAAAAATCCCACAGCTTTTAACTCAAAATTTGTAGTTAACTATTCAAGCTATAAAGCATAATTTACAATTTTTTCAATATAAAAATATTTTATTAGCAATATTTGAGTTAGATATTAAGACCACTAAAGCTCTTCGCAGTATAGTAAATGCCTCACTCCACGCGGAGCTGCTACTGTTGTACAGCTTTTCGTCAACTGCTGACAACCACAATCTTTGTGTGTTGTTTGTAGATGCAATTTTCATAAAGTTTTGTACAGAAACACACAAGCACACATGTACGTATGTATATAATATATGTGCAGTGTATATATGGATGTATATAATGTGCACTGAAATATTAAATGAGATTGCCGGTGTTTTGTGTTGACGAAAATATGATAATTGGCAAATTTGACAGGGGAATTTTTCTTCAGTTTGCAATAGCAATAACAACAAGCCCCAAGGCGCTTAAATATGTATGCATGTTCGTCAAATGTATGTGATTTTGTAAATTCTCGGCATACGCGCACTTTCCGTGGAAAGCGCACACATACAGACATACTTACACATACAACTAATATATATATAATTAATCATACATGCATATATGCTAGCTGAGATATTGAAAATTTTCGAATAACGTCAAAGACAAGACAAAGTTTTCAACGGCTTCTGTAAGGAACATACACTTGTATGTATGTATGTATGTGTGTACGATTTTACGACTTGCATGAATGTTGGCTACATATGCTTCTTATTGCTTTTATTTTGCGCCCGCTTGTAGCTCCTGATTTTTCGCTATAGTTGTTGTTTTTGGAGCGTGCATGATTTTTTAATGACAAGCGCCGTGCACACACGTTCACAACACTGCACAGCACGAATACATATGTGGTTGTGCTTGGTTGCTATTATGTACTTGAAATAAATTTTTATTTTATTTTGGGGCGGTTTTTAATTGATGAACATAAATTGGCGTTTGCGGTGCTGTTTTGGGGTTCTGCTTGCGCTGATTGCAGCTGCGTTCGTAAGAATGAGTAAAGAAGACTGGTGTAAATTGTTCTTAGTTCAAAGTAATGTAAGGCGTGATTACTGGATTTTTAACGTACATACAATAATCAAGATTTATAATTAAGTATAATGATTACTTGTAATGAATACATTATAATTACTTGTTATAATTACTCGTAATGATTACATTAAAAATCTTTCTAATTATTACTTGTAATTATTTCATCACAAGTATTTATAGTGATTACACTATAATTATATGTAATGATTACATTATAATTACATATAATGATTTTATTATAATTACTTGTAATGTGTACATACGATTACGTGGCTAATGTATTCTTATTTCTCAACTGCCTTTGCTACATTGTAATCAAACATGATTACATGCAAACTAGTAATGACTACTTTGCTAATAATTATACCAACATATTTTCTTTGTCAAACTATTCTCTTTACCAAACCAAAACATACACTTAAACCTACCCACAAACAGCCCACCGCATCATACATTTCTAATTGTTCTCTCTCAATTACTTCCAGATTAAAGCACTTATCGAAGAGGTACAACGCCTGCGCACACTCGAACAAGCACAACTCACACAAATACAACGACTTGAGGATCACTTAGAAGTGAAGCGTCAGCATATTATACGCCTAGAAGCGCGTCTCGATAGCCAACAAATCAATGACGCGCACAACGAAGCGATCGTAGCCACCGCCAACAACACAACAGCAGCAACAGCCGCAATTACCGCTGCAGCGCCCGCGACATGTGATGTTGTGCACGATGTTGACGATGATGATGAGGAGAATGAGGAAGTTGTTGACACCACTGCTGACGCTGATGCAGCTGTTGACAAAATTGATTTAACCACAACAACAACAACCACAACAACTGAGTCGCATGACGCCACAGAAGCTAGAGCTGATTTCGCCGCCGATCGCGAATGTGAGCAGTTCAATGCGGCGGCGGAGGACACAAATGCAACAACAAGCACAACAACAACACCGGCAATTGCGACAAACAATGACAACAGCGGCAGCACATCAACAACAGCAGCAGTTGAAACGACACAGCAAATGTCACAACAAGTTGGCGAGCCACAAATCAAAAAGGAAAATCAGTGAGTCTTAAAGTTTGATATGACAGCACTCAAATATCCCAATTGTCAAATATTTCTCTCTAAGCTTTGTTTAGTAATTTTCAAATGTATAGTTACCAAAAACCAAAATTAAATAACAACAATTGAAATGCTTAGCGGAAAATATTGTTTCTATGAAAAACTCACTTCTAAACGCTTATCTATAATTTACAACTCTCTTTTCTCACTTCTCGCACTTGCACAGCAGCCCACTCGATTTGGACGTGATTAGTCAGCAATCGGCCATAGCTGCTGCTGCAGCCGCCGCCGCTGCCGCTTGCGCCAATGATCCGAACAAATTCCAGGAATTGCTGCTTGAGGGCACCAAAGCGTTGGCGGCCGCCGCCAATGCTGCCGAGGGTAAGTTCACATTCATCTGTTATTTGTTTGTATGTGTGGTGGTTACACGTCTTCCTATTGTTCTGCTTGCTTAACACTTCACTTGCGCTTATCTGCGTTGATATCTGTTGCACATACATTTTTTATTCAGAATCTTTACACGAGTATTTATGCATTTATTGTTTTATTATCTTCTGATTCATTTGTTGGCTTTTTTACAACTACACTTTTTTTTTAAATATATGTGTGTGTGGGTATTTGTTTTAGCTGTAAATTCTTATTATGCACACATTTGCTGCTGTTGTTGCTTGTATGAGGCTTAAACCGCACATAATAATGAATAATAATTATTTTAATTTTACATATTAATTACTTTCTAAGCTAAATTTGAAAATAAATCTTTTATGAATATAAATGTATGTGTATTTTAACAATTTATAAAAAAAATATAGTTTTACTATATAAAAAATAATTTTTATAAATAATTTACCTTAAAAATTGTTAAAAATTAAAAGCAAAATTAAGTTCTTTCATTTTCTTTATTAGAAGCATTTAAAAAATAATTATAAATACCTATTCTTATAATATTCTCACTCTTTTCTTTGCACTCACCAAATAAACACTCGTCTGTAGCTACAAAGCGCCCACTGCTACAATAATATTATTTTTATTTAATTAATTTATTTTTTATTTATTTTGTTTATTAATTTGCTTTCTCTATTATCCACATATTTTTTTATATTTTATTTTATTTTTTCTTTAATTTTTTCTTCTATCTTCTACCCAGTTCGTTTTGTATACATATTGGGCTACAAATGTTCGAAAAATGTAATCATTAATTTTTGAAAAATTTAAAATTCGTTTATTTTAAGCAATTGTGTTTAATTTTTCTTTCTTGACACATAATTTTTTTATTTTAATTTATTTATTAGTTTCTGATGACCTATCATCTATCTTCAATTTTGTCTTTTTTTATTATTTAAAAGTTTTTGTTATGTTATTTTTTCTTGATTATTTTTAT